TTTTACTATTACCATATTGCACACAAATACAATTTTTTATTCATTCATATATAGCGCTTATTCGTCAGTCTGTTTCGTTGCATGCTATACAAACACAGACGAAGATATCACAAAAAAAAATGAAGAATTTTCTGTGAAAATGGTTACTTTTTTTTTTCTAACAAAGAGATTTCGCCACCGATTAACCTTAACTTTCTTACTTATTTTCAGATATTGCTTATTGCCGTCAGAACATTTTCCGATTTCTCTCTAGTTCGTGACTACTAGTTTCTGCTAACCAGAACACATTCACGTCAAAATGGGTGAAATACATTCGCAATACGCATGGATGTCGTTCTTCAATATTGTTCACCCGAAGGATAGTGTCGTTGCATTTTAAAATTCAACCAACGCTCATCATACCCCACGTTGCTATATCCAAACGTAGCATTTACTCACTACCCTTTCTTGAACATCGAGGCTTCTATCTGTTCAAATATATACGAGACACATCCAGACATCCCATCCACTCTGTATATGGCCTTTTACACGAATGTGTCTATTGTTTGTTGGTACACCGCACATCCCATCCACTCACTACATGACCTTATATTGTTTTTTCGTATACAGGACGTATCCAGACATCTCATCCACGGAGCTATGCGCTTTGGTCCCACGAGCGCAGTAGTACTGGCGGTGTTTGCGTGCTGTCTGTTTGGTCTGTGTGAGAGTGTGTTGCTGGACGGGGGCCTCACTTCGGCGTGCACAGTATGTGTTCCAAACTTGTCTTTTTATTATACCTTTCTTTGTCTAGCTATGGGTACTAGAATCACAATTGGTCTGTTTATTATACCTTTCTTTGTCAAGCGATGTCTATTACAATCACAATACTTCGTTCCATTATACGTCTATTTGTCAAGCCATGTGTGTAGTATCGCGCTCTGTATACATTTCGAGATTGTCTTGATCTACCATCCTCTGCTTAGCCAAATACATTGCACCACTTAACTATGCCGGTGTTTGCGTAGCGTCTGTTTGGACTGTGTGAGCGTGTGGCTTCTGGAATGGTGGCCTAGTGTATCATACTCTCTGTTCTATAAATAGAATGTGTCGCCAGTGTATACCTACCTTCGTAACAGCGTGTGACAGTGAATTGTTCTTCCTTCTAATAAATCGTCCTATACGAGAGAGTACCTAGTGATCTGCTGATTATACATTTTAACACCAGGTGTTTAAGGTGCACTATGGCACATACTCTCCTGCCGCGTATGCTTGCCTTCTATTGGGTACACTTATTGCCCCATGCCATGTGTACGTCTGCATATTCACCTATCATTTGACGCCTTATTTGGCAAATCCATACGCAGTACTATGACTGACTGTCATTTATCTCTCCCACTGTACCTACTATTCCTTATTTGGTTCGTCTATGCGCAGTACTATGGCCCTGCAAATGTCTCGGCCGGACGCAATTGGACTGGCTGGGGCACTTCGTATACCAAAGGTCTGCGGACAGCACAACTCGTCTGCTGTACAATGCTGGCGGTCTATGCGAGTAAGTACACCCACTACGTTGAATTCAGATACATGTCAACGATAAGTTGCAATGAGGTGACTACACGAGTACGTATATTAACTCCACTGTTCTCAGATACCTGTATTGACAATACCTTTTTGCGTGGGTGTGGTGTGTGTATAGAGTTTGGTGTTTGGATATGTTGATGCAATAAGGGTGGTGCCAATTACCGGGTATCGTTGTTATATCATGAGGTGCTCGTGAGAGTCCTATCAATTGTGGGAAATGTATATAGTAGTTCGATTACGAGTGTGCGATAAGTATAGTACTGTTATATATTTAGATCCTTAGTCTTTCCATAAAAGATGTTTGTATCTCGTCCCTGGAATTTAACTTCGGCGTGGCATTGTGCGTCCTGTACATACGTGTTCTAAAGTGAAAGCACGATACTGAAATTGCTCAGTTATACCTATGTCCTCTAGATGTTGTGCCTACTTGGTCGCCAATGATTTTGCGGGTGCAATCTAACTTTACCACAATCCAGCTGAACCACGCAACATATTTTATATGCCACTCTATTGAGTGTTCGTACTGGTTGGACATGGTCAGCAGACTATAAATGTGACCCAAAGTGTCGCACATGGGTGCTGCACTGCAAATAGCGGTGCAGGAACAGTATAATTGACCGCAACCTACGTCAAATATTCCACTAGGCCTTTCGGTTTGCATTCTCCCTCCTGCCCCATCCAATCAGATCTGAGTCCCATGTTCGCTTAAACTGCTCGGAAGTATCTACAAGCACAGCACACCCTTTGTTTAGCCGACCATAAGCCCCAATTTCGCTGACTCCCGCATCGTATTCATATATATCCACAGTTCCGCTCTCCGCCACGTTTCTGCATCGGACGCTGCCTGTGTGGAAGTGTAAACTGCACACGCAGTACTTGTGGATGGCCGTGTCGGTCTTAATGTAAGTAGAGCTACCTTCTTATAGTTTCGTTGGGAGTTGTCGAATTGCTATTTGCTGTGTAGATGCGAATTTCCTTCTTTTTTTTTGGATATAGATTTGGATCTGAATTTGAATTTGTCGCACATTTTGTGCTTTGCTGCCTTAGTAAACTACGATCTTATGTTGTTGTTTTTGTTGTGCATCTCCTCAATGGGATACAAATTTTCTTGAAAGTGGAACTGTATAATCAATCGATTAATCGCATATTTGCGTCTAACCAGCGTGTCGTGCAGCAGCGTCGATCACTACTAGGGTTTAGGGTTTGAACAGTGTTGATCACTGCTGAGCTATCTCCAAGCAGGCTCTACAGGACTATGTAAAAGCTATCGCAAAACTCTGTCTGTGATTATTTTCTCTCCATGCCGTCCACAATGAATGCGATTTAGCCTTCTGTGCCCTAAGCGTGCCATACTAATGTTTGGTCACTTGCCGTCACTCAGGCCTTCTCGTTCAGTGTATTGTCCACATATGTCCGTGTTTTCAGTCTATATATATATTTATATATATATATATATAGATAACCATAAATAGATATAACATTACTATGAAATAGGTGTCCTGAAATACAGTATACTCATCGTCTGTGCCCACCCTTGACTATCAGCTTGGTACTGCAGTTCCTGTATGTGCTGGTCAGCGACACCATTGATAAGGACTCCAAGCCGAACTACGGGTGGTCGGTATGTTTCATGTTTTTTAATATTAAACTAAACTGCAGAGTTCTGTGCCCTTTGCCTGTTTTAATCTTAGCGTATAAGCTAATCTTCTTGTTTGAGACGTGACTAAGCCTGTGGTTCTGTGGTGATGTATTTGATATCTGTAATATATCCAGGCACATTATAGTATTGTTTCTGGGTTCATCCACCACTCTCTTGTAACCCCGGCCGCTCCATCAAATGTCAACAGAACATACCCTGGTACGCCTACGTAATTGCGGTGATTTGGATACCTATACTGGTATTGCTCAACGAAGGTGCCAAGATGATATATAAGAAACGCTTCACGCTGCTGCAGAAACGGGCCAGATTGTTATTCGACACAAAGCTCGGCATGCACTCTCCCGTCTGATGTGTATACTCAGAGACTTCAATACAAAATTCAAATATGTCGTCTCTGTGTGTTTGTGTGCTGGTCTGTATCGCCAGCATGCTGCTTACCCTTAATCAGTCTGTACCTCGTCACTCATGATATCGTATGTGATTGCCAAGACAGTGTCCGGTAGAACAAAGTAAGAAGCATTACTTCTTTTGCGACGTACGATTATTCAGCATACGACTAGGTTGACCTTTTGCGACATAGAGTTATATAGCATAACAGTCTATTCTGTTGTGCATGTTTGGATCGCAGTGGCTTCACTTCAGCTTTCAGTCCATCAAAATTGTACTGTGTATTAATTATCCACTGAGCCACGTAGTACGAAGCACCACTATTCTAAGTTGATCTTTTGCGACATAGAGTCATGTAGCATACCGGTCTATTCTGTTGTGCATGTTTGTACCGTAGTGGCCTCTCATCAGCTTCCACAGTCTATAAAAATTATACTGTGTATTAATTATACAGTGACG